GCCGAAGGGAAGATTTCCGGGTCATACTTGATCAAAGTCCACGACGGAATAAACTCGAAACCTTCCGAGTGACATCTCCGACTGTCGATAGAAGCTAGGAAACTGTCAAGAGCTGGCAGATGCAGGTGTGAGTCTTCATCGAAGTTCAAGGTTTTGAGTTCGGCCAGTTCTCTGCCGAAACCAGGCGAGGTCCGTTGTTGAATGCGATTCCAACGATCGGCGAGAACTTGGTTAGCTCGCAACATTGTTCGATGTACGAGGTCAACGATGGAGTGGATCCGGCCATTTGAGATTTTGCCCATGCGTCTGGATATTTTCGAGACCATGACGAGTATAAGATCTGATGGGAGTTCCATGTCCGTGTCGATGCTGTGACCAAGCACTTTGGCCATGAAAAAGGCCATAAATGTCTTGTAAAGACTGCAACTTGTATCGTCGATATTGCGATCAAATGCTAGCTGCAGACTGACTCTAATCAGCAGCCAAGTAGGGGAACGACGCCACGGAAGAAGGGCATCGCTCCAGTTGACTTCTTCCCGGGTATTCTTCCAGATTCTTGTGCCGTCAAGAGGTTTCCCTATAGCTTGGAAAGTCGAGATGAAAAGCTCGGTGACCATTTTCGGACTTGTGGTATCGCGGTGCTCTTGATGGAGCTGCCCAGCTTTCTTGGCTAATGGTTGGGTTCCTGGGGCAGGCTGTGAGCTCATTGTCGACAAAGCGTCAGCAAGTGTCTCTTGACAGCCAGGCTGGCTGAATTCCTCTAGATGTATGGAGATTCCGGTCCCGGGGAAAGTCCGCCGAAGACGACCCAAGGTTGACATGACTGCCTGATTGATTGGAGACAGCTCGAACGCCTCCAAGTGTATTGCGTCGTGAGCCTTGGTGATGAGTACACCTGCATTCTGAGCCCGGACGTTGAGCGAAATGATTTCTCCTTCGATAATGTTAGCTTTATGAGCTTATCGCAAGCAGGTACTACTAAAGGTCATACCATCTGCCAGATTCTGCAAACTTTCGAATAGGCCGTCTTGCTCAATTGCAAGCGTCTTCCCCAAAGGTTTATGAATGCGTATCATGGCATCCATCAGACCAATGGCAATCCTTACGGAGGCCTTTTGACTATTGGAAACATGTTCGATAAACTCGGTGACCGAATCTTTGACCACTCGAAGCAAGGCACTCTCGTTCTCCGGGCTGAAGTCATCGGCATGAGGCAACTTGGGCGGCAGGAAAACATGCTGAATGATGAAATTAAGATCAGTTTGATTAGCCATTTTACGTTGGTCGAAGAGGAATGAGTAATTGGCAAGAACGTTTTGACGAGGTCATACAGTATGAAATTGAAAGATGATAGTTATGGGGGGCTTTAAAAAGCTCAAGAGTAGTGTCCAGGGACGTCAAATATAACAATTCCCTGGGTCCCCATTCGCATCAACCATCCTCAGAAGTTCATCAGCCACCTCCGATATGACAGGGTTCCCTGGCATTGTCGTCGAATGGCTCTCTGCCTGGAAATTCTCTCTCAGGAGATGTACATCACAAGACGAGGCAGAGCTTGGAAATAAGCTTGTAGCTAAGCCAAACATAATCCGGTGTGCTGAGATGAGTAGGTCTCAGTCTTTCACAGACTGTAATGTAATATTAGGCGAAGAACGATTCCCGGCAGGCTCGAATGGCGGTCTTGAGCAAACCCACCCTATCCAATCTGATAAGGTTGTTTGAAACATGCAGAACTCAACGCGGGAGGCCGTCTTGTGCAACCGTCAATCAGGTAACGTATGCGGGGTCAATTGGTCGCACAGCAAAGTTAGTCCAAAACTAGTGCTCCTCATCCACATGCCCAGCAGAGCCATCTAGGTATCTGCCGAAAGATGCGAAGTCCGAGACACGCCGAATATCATTGTAGGCCTCAACTATGTTACTCGGAAACACGCGGGATGTCCGCATCTCGCGTCATCATTTTCTTGAAGCCGGCGACATTGACCGTGGAACTACAGCTTTAGTTGGCCTCCTACTTCTCCTGAAACATAATTTTTCTTTTCTCAAGATAAGGTACCTCAACGCGTACATCTTCATGTTGTATCGTAGATCGTTCTCGCAGGCACCATCGAGCCTTGGTCCATGGCTCTGCGCGTCTAGCGGGGGATTCAGGGAGAGCCCGGTCGTCACACTTGCTTTCTCTCAGCATCCTGAGTGGATATCATCAGGTTACCTGACCTCAGTGGTATCGAATAACTTCGTGACAGAAATGGGATCAGAGCGGCTGGTGGTGGTTGATATGGCAGCGAAGATAACGGTGGAGTCACGAATGAAATGAGAGACTAGGGATAAAGCGAGGGCGGGCAGGTGATATTGCTGAAGTTGCAAATTTCAGAAAGGAAGAGGATAGGAGTTCGAGACTCGTGTTGATGCTGGCGGGGTCGACTGGCATGTTGTCCATGCCAAACGCCTCATAGCTTTTTCACGATGGTCGCAATTGTCTGCTATCTTGTTCACAAGGCCTATTATCAACCTCTTTCGGTTTCGTACAACAGTTCGCCTATGGCACGATTGGTGTCGGCGTTGAGCTTGACTTCCTGAAGGAAAGCAACTTGGATGCGCCTTCACTTTTCTTCATCTCACAAATTCCCTTTTGCCTTCCGCTGCCTTTCACCTTCCGCTGCCTTTCACCTTCTGTGTTCTCTTACCTTTCCTCCCCCCTTCCCTCACCTTCTCTCACCTTCTCTCACCTTCCCTAGTTTCCTCTCACCTCTCTTCTCATCTTTCCTCGCTTTATCCACGCCTGATCCTCAAGTCCTTTTCTTTCCATTCCATCAAAACTCTCAACTCCCACTACACCCAACTCGCCGTCGGTGTAATTTTCGGCTTTTGCATCGTTCGAAATATTTCAGCAGTAGTAGCTTGCCACCAGCCAGTCGATACTCCACACGACAATTCGACGCCCTCTGAATAATTTTAAGCACCTGATCCTCTTATCTTTGAGTCACGACGCTTTCCGCAGAACCCCACACGACAATCCCACCATGTCGCCAGATACTCCCTCATCCTCCACCCCTCGTACAACTTCCGAGAACGCCATTCATCCACTATATCCGATCATCTCCCTGTCCGATGAACGATCCAAGGTCGGGTCGTCATTGCAATGCTATGATGATCTGACAGCGACGGAGAAAAGTATCCCCGATATCTGGATGGAAAGACACCACGAGTGTTCTCGTTTGTGGAGGCTTAATACGGCGGAAGAGAAAGAGGCTGCAAGAGTCAAGATTTGGGAGTTGGCGTTCACAAACTGGGACACCAATACACGATTTCCTCAACCCGCTCGTGCTGTTGCTAGGAAGACCAAGGATAGCATAGTCAAGATTGGAGTCTTGACAGAAGATGCCAAGCCTTCCAAGAAGCTTCATGTGGACGATACCAGTATTGCCGCGTCTGATCCACCCCCTTGTCGGCCGCACTATCGTGGAGATGACGTCTTTCTGAAGGTCGAAGTTGATTAGGAGCTCGAGTCTCTGAGATTCAGGGCTTGCGACGCAAGAGGTTCAGACTTCTCCTTCGGCACCAAATATGAGCAGACGCTTGGCTATCCGATATTCACTGCTAAGGAAGATTGCATTGCTAGCTGGGACCGTGACGAACTCCGCCGGTTGGGTCGGGCCAGTACTCAACTCATGATCTACTGGACAAGGAACGCGCTGCTCCTCTCCCTCAAAGATGGGTTGAGAAACCGTGGGAACACGTAACAAACAACATTGACGATCGACGAGACGCCACCCAACCTTGAGAAGTTGACTCGCGTAAAGCTTGTCAGCGATGTTTGGGCAAAAACCATCGATGCTTGGCTTCTATCGCCACTGTCTGGGACACTATGAACACCTGATCTCCGTAAGTTTACAATCTTGGCCTCCTATCTACCTAATCTAAACCACTGACTGACGTTGCCACAGATTCCTACCCTCTTGATCACCGGTGCCGCCTGTGCGCAGCAAGGATGAAGACCGTTGATCCTTTTAGGCATTGCTGTTGCAAATGAAAGATCATTCGCCTTTTGCTGTTGTCACACCAAGAGAACTCCGGTTCTCTTTCAATAAGTTGACATTCGGGTTGTAAATTACAGTTGTGGCGGAGGCTCGGTAGGGTCCGAAGCCTTCTCTTGAGACAGAACCGATCCTCATGTCGCTTTTCGTATGGATCCAATCCGTAATGACAATATCTTTCAACAAAATAAAGACGCTGTTGATATCGAAGCTTAGTTCATTGTGGTGGCATCATCTACCCACTCTTGGCCTCGCCGCCTCGACCGTGATTAGGCCTATAAATGACACTCGCTGAGGCCTCCTTTTTCAAGATAGCCTCCTTAATTAGGAAGAAATCCCGCGGTTGATTTATCGTAATCACTTTGACAAACCACTAGCTGAGAAATTTCGCGGAACATTCTGCACGCTGGTGTCGTGAGCAGCATTATCAATATCGAATCCTTCCGCATCCTTCGGGGACCTCCCATGTGGGGCGCCGGGCCGGTGGTCTCGGATTTACAGGGCCATTTCTTTTGTCATAATCCCGAACCGGGTCGGCTTTGGCCTGCACCCGATTTCGAAACTTCGCTGGATCCTGCTCCCTGTCGGACCAAGCCAAGACGTTGGCCCGATAGCCCGCCCAGAATATTTTCTGTGGCTTCAGGCACCGCTGATTATTGCGCGGTCATGATGTTCCTGAAGGCGGGGGCTGTGTTTTCGTAGACACCAACATAGCTTACGAAAAAGCACTAATCAGAAAAACCACGACACGTGTGCCGTGCTGTGCAGAGATTGGGGGAACCTGATGATCATATAGATTCTATCTTCCGGAGTTCGTGAGGTAGGTTTGATATATTCTAACATTAGAGAACTGGGAATTTTGAGTACTTCGGGGTTTTATTTCTACCTCCCGCATTGTTTGAGTCACCACGTCTGATCCAGGCCCTATCACCACATCCGCAATTCATGATGTTAAATCGCAACATGAACCAGCTTTTCCCACCTAAACCCACTTTCACAGAACAGAATCTGCCAAACCAAGCAGGCAGAGTGCGTGTTGCTTTACCAACTACACTCACATTCAGTAACGAAATTAACAAGACACAGGTATTCATCATCACTGGCGGAGCATCTGGCATTGGACTGGAACTCTGCAAGATTCTTTATGCAGCCAACGCGACGATATACATCGCGACCCGCTCAAGTGAGAAGATAGCCGAAGCAATCAAGACCATCAAAGCCCTTCATCCATTGAGCAATGGCAAGCTCGAGCCGCTCGTTCTCGATCTCGCAGATCTGACAACAGTCAAACCAGCCGTCGAATCCTTCCTGGCAAAAGAGTCGAGGTTAGATGTCCTGATACACAACGCCGGCGTCATGATGCCGCCTCAGGGTAGCACAAGCGCTCAAGGTCATGAGCTCCAGATTGGCACCAACGCCCTCGGCCCGTATCTTCTCACGCGATGTCTGGAGGAGAGATTACGGGCTACGGCTCGACTAGAAGGAATTCCAAATGGGAGCGTAAGAGTGGTCTGGGTCGCGAGTATGATTTCGCTTGGGGCTCCTAAGGGTGGTCTGATCTGGGATGACACCAAGGGCTCGCCGAAGCTCTCTGGGGATTCTATGAGCGATTACATGCAAGGGAAAGTCGGCTGCGTCTTTCTTGCCGATGAGTTTGCGAAGCGAGTGAAGGACGATGGCATCGTCTCTGTGGTAAGCCTGGTTTCCCCGCTTCGTCACATACAACGGATGCTGACGTGAAGGACAGAGTGTGAACCCCGGACTAGTCAAAACAGAGTTGCAGAGGCACTCTCCAGCAGCAATGAGCGTAATCATGGTATGTCCAAAAGTCCTTGACATGGTGGTTCCCGCCATAAAGCTAATCGAGTCTCAGGGTGTCGTGTTCAAAGGACCCAGACACGGCGCATATAGTGAGCTATTCGCGGCTTGTTCCCCAGACGTTTCGGTGGAGAAGTCTGGTTCGTACATTATTCCGTGGGGAAGATATGGATGCATCCCGGGAGACATCGCTGAGGGAATGAAGCCGCCATCAAGCGGGGAGAAGTCTCTAGGAACCAAGTTCTGGAACTGGTGTGAGAGGGAGACCTTGTGTTCTCAATGAACAAAGCAACCTAGTAGTCTAAATTTACACCAGGAATCGGGATTCAACTTCTTCATTCTTCGTTAAGGATGATAAAGGGCCTAAGAAACAAATGACCAGCTTGGATATGTAGATGTATACAGCGCAGAGCGTACGCATCGAATAGAGGGCATATATCAGCATTTCATCTTTTGTACCTTACAGCAGTCAGCATCTATGAGCCTCCACCCTATTATGAATGCCTAATCGACAGAAGTAGGAAAGTGGGCCTTTTACAATGACAATGTGACATGAGGTAGGAAAACAAAGGCAAGCAGGCCAGACGTGGCATGGTATAATTATGCAGAAGGGGTAGGAGGTACATGGGTTTAAGACCCATGCGCCTTCTACATTCAGTCTCTAAAATAGAATACGCAGAGTAAAACATCCATTAATGAGCTCATATTTTACTCTATATATTCTATCAACGACCTCGAGGCTAAGGAAAAGTCCTCTTGACGCGACGTAATTTCCTTTTTCTTTCTTTTCTCTTTTTCTTCTTTCTTCCTCCATCTATCAGCCGAGATTCGCAATACTTTAACTATATTTGAACATCCCTATAGAGAAGGATTTAGATAAGTCTTATCGTATATAACTTCGATATTTCGCAAATAACCCCCGTCCATAAACTCTATATTTCTTAATTACAGTATATACTTTAATCGTACTAAAAGAAATGCTAACCGCCGTAAATACCCGTTCGTTTACCCAATTCCGGACCAACGATACCGCCTCCTCCTACCCCCCCCCCCCCCGCCGTTCTAGATTCCGTAGCTACATTACCCGTATTATAGAAGAGAAGCGTATACCTCGCTCGACAAGATAATTCGGTAAGCATAGTTGATCATTACATCTAGTAAATCTAGATCTTGTTCCCTGCCTACTTTCTCGAAGTACGACGATCTGAGTACTGCCCAGAAAGCGATGCCTGAGCCATAGATGGAGGTGTACTTGGATGTTACCAGATTCCGAGAGGTGGCTGGCCGATAGGCCCTCGATAACCGCATCAAGAAGCTCTGGTACCTCGTCTTCACAAGCTGGGATACCAGCATGGTGGTCATGCCCCGGTGCCTGCGGCCAAGCGGCAAGCGGCCCTAACGACCATGTACGTCGGCACCCTCACAGAGGACGCCAACGTGCCAGCGGGGAGTAACGCTCGCGCGAAGAAGAGCCACGCGGTGCCCACGGTTCCTGCCTGGCGACAACGGGGAGCTGCGGTCTTTGTAAAGATCAATATCAATTAGGCGGGCAACGACCTCACATTCCCTTTTGTGGATGTCAAGGGATCGACCTTCCAGTCGTCTATCAGATACGACATGGCCGAGAACATGACAATCGACCATGCCAAGGGGCACCTGACCACCCAGTGGGATATGGCAGAGCTCTGCCGTCTCGCAAAGGCCAACACATCTCTGATGGTCTATTGGTGCCGGAATGCCCTTCTAAAGGATCTCCGCAGTGCCGGCCACCCAGGAGTGGCAACCGACGAGTATTATCCTGATCTATCGGAATTGGTACACATTGAACTATGCAGAGACGTCTGGAGGGCGAAACTGCGATCAACCATGGTATCTATGGAGGTGTATGAGCAGAGCGCTTGCGAGGGGGAGGTTGCGTGATGGTCACGGATTGCTGTAAATTACCGTCCATAGCGAAGCATATTAGAGCATGAGAGAATACCCCGCTGCGTGATGAACCCAATTCTTTATTTACCTTATACTAGTGTTACCTCTTAGAACTATCTTCCAACCAACTCTATTTCTACTCTTATCGGTATTATTACTATTCCTATCCGGTTCTCTTCGTATACACTGCTGAGAATACACGTAAAGCATCGCGGCAAAACGCCAATAGCAATAGAAATTGTAGGCGTGACATAGGAAATAGGGCTCAGAGTATCATGACCGATGAGAGATTGTATCATTCACTAGATGACTAAGTTTACGAATTGCAGATGAATTTTTCTACTCCTACGCCATGACTTTGAGGGCATCGCTTGCCCACTGAGGGGCGTTTACCCACTGGAAGTCTCACGAAAGCAAGACCTGGCCTCCACTCAGTAAAGATGGTCTGAAACTTGGAAGAGTCTTGCACGGAGTGCCCTTTGATGTGAGGTAGGCTTGGAAACTCGTCATTGTGGGGCATGCCCGGGCGACATTGAAGCACATACAGGCGTATCACTTTGGTGTCCAGAGTACCCTGTCTTTGCCGAGTGTGGGTGGCCGGATATCTGTAGCAAGAAACCGATGCTTTTCCTATTTTCAATATGCGCTAGGCATCAAAGATATGTACGGAATAATATGTTCACGAAATCTCCTGATAACCATTGCCACCCTAATTAAGGATGTCAACGTTCCACCATAACCTTTCCCTCTAGCAAGTTGTCGCGCCGTTGCCAGTGAAAGAGCCAGACTGGTACGCGCCGCTGGCATCATCGAGACATTCAGCTGATACATAAGTTAATTAACCGGCTTTATGAATATGACCACATACTTCACTTACCAACAGTAACCAGCTTGAGGTTGTTCTGCTTCGCCCAGTTGATCAACCACGGGGTCAAAGTCTGCACCGTGGTTGCGTAGGTCTCGTGCATGAGAGGGATATGTCCGTTGCCGCTCGCGCCAGCAGCAGTGAACTTGGCCTCGCTCTGCGCCGGCGTCTGCCCGTTCCAATCGCCAGAGTCTACATCATCAGTGATGACCTTGTATCCCAGCGTCTTCATCGTCGAGAGCACGGATCCGCCGGTAGCGAGGTACGGCGGGCGCATGTAGGCAGGCTTCTTGCCGATGATGTTAACCATCGCCTGTTCGAGCTTCTGCATCTCGGTCGTGAGCTGCGCCGTGGTCAAGCTACCAAAGGTGGACGGGTGGGTCCAGGTGTGCGAGGCAATCTGGTGGCCAGAGTCGAAGGCCTTCTTGACGGCGGTGCGCTGGTTGTAGATGCACCCGTAGAGGGTTCCCGTCATGAAGAAAGTGGCCTTGGCGCCGCCGTTGTTCAGGATGTCGACCAGCTGGGAAGTGTACTGGTACGGGCCATCGTCGTAGGCGAGGGCGAAGACGCCGGGCTTGGCGCACTTTTGGATCACGACGCCAGCGCTCGGGGCGCGCTTGATGAGCTCCATGGGGTTCTCGATAGGGATGGCGGCCGCGCTGGCGGCCATCAGGAGACCGGTGACGATGGTATCGAGAAGCATGATGGGCGAATCGATGTTTCTGTCGAAGAATTTAGAGTAGCGAGGGGACTAACGATGGTTGTGGACATCAAGCTTTCAAAAATAGGAATGACCTGGCTGGGCAGCCGTCTATATATGCTTATTCAATAGGTGCGCTCAACAGGCGATGATGAGCCCACACGAAGCACTTCAATCTCGTCACGACTAAAGAACGCAAAAGACGGGAACACCTCCTTTGTGGGGTTATTGGACATGGGGTGAACGGCCGGGTGCGACCTCTTCGGGAGTTCGCTTCGTGGCTCAAGACGAACCTTGCTTCTCCCAGGGGCAAGATTCAAGAGTACCACGGCGCGAGGCCGGCAGTGAGGGGCCTCTAGGGGGCTCGATTCGACTACATTGGGTCAATAGCAATCTAGATGAGTGTGCGGGAGGGAAGCGGGTGACAGCATTGATTGAGCAGTCTCATTTAGGCTCTTTTTCTGGTCGCGGGGTGCTTAATCTGGAACGGAGGGCCACGGTCAAAAGGGAGAATTTTTCGGCGGGGATCTGATGGGGCACCCCGGCCGAGTTGACTAGGGTATATCAGGGCGGCTGCTATTCCGACGACGATGGTTTCTCCGCAAATTGAACAGAACCAGACTTTTCAGCTCTTTGGGTGCCAGGGAAAGTCGTCCACGTGCTTCTTAACAGCGGCTGAATCGGCATAGCGGCACCGGGGGTCGCCAAGGGTAAGATCTCCCGGAACCTGGGGAAGCTATCATTCTTAACCAGATGAAGTTGGTGATGTTACCATACGACTTTTCGTCCCGGCTAAATAAGAAAGCTTGAACGCCAGCGATCACTGACGCGCTGAAGTTGGCACTAGTTCAGACTACACATGGCCGGGGAAAGGGAGCGCTCAGGGGCTTGAGATCATGTCTGGGCGCTGACTCATCTCATTTTCACAACTAACTCACATCAGTCGCGTCTCATTGATTTCACAAAAACTCAATCTCACTTCACGAACCCAATGGGTGAGTGAGGCGCATCCTCGCGAACATTCATACACCTTAGGCAATCTCAGTAATCAAGAAGTTGAGCTGAAGGTAGTGAGCGCTCACGCGCCTACAAGAAGCCAGCCAATCAACGATGATGACTCAAGTGAAGCGAAACCAGCTGATCACTGGCGCCCTTCGCGTGTCAAACCTGAACAACCATCACAACATCCTTCAAAGTTGATGTTGGGGTTCTGACTAGCTTTCATTTCCATGGGTTAAAATCCATCTTACTCACAGCCGAGACCATATTATCAGGAAACCGGCAACACAACAATTCCAACATCATCCAGTCAGTCATCATCAAGCGTCTTCTGCTCAAAATGGACGTGGAATGTCAATGCGGCACAGTTACATTCAAGACTCCAGCACCTGAGCCCCTCGATATCTACTGCTGCCACTGCTCGCAATGCCGCAAGCAATCTGCTTCAGCATTTGGTACCTCGGCAATCTTCCCCGCTGATGGCCTCTTCCCGCTCTCGGATGATCTTGAGTCGAAGCTCCAGGTCTGGACTCGTCCCACAAAGAGCGGCGGGCACATGGACTGCTTTTTCTGCCGGCTATGCGGGAGCGGGGTCTTTCATCGCACTTACGATGAGAATGGAGTACCCAAAACAACAGTCAGCATCAAAGGGGGACTGATCTTGGGACTCAAGATGGACAGGGGAAAGCATATCTGGACGAGCAGCGCGGTCGTGAGAATTCCTGACGATGCAGAGAGGTACAAAGAATCACCGCCTGCGACGCCCGACAGTGGCAAGGATTGAAAGGCTCTGAAGGCCTCAAAGTGAGCAAATACATCTGCAATCCTCGTTTGGCTGTTGAATAAACTCATCTCTTCGGGCAGGGTATGTTTACATCCCGAATTTAGGTGCTCATGCTCCGACTTGCTACCTTAGTGTCTTCGTGTTGTCGGCTGGAGTAAATTGGATGTAACACCGACTAGACGGTGTGTGATATTGACATTTCACGGTCCTACTAGGTAGTTTGATGCTTATCTAAATTTTCTTCGATGGACATCTGGGTCTTCCCTCCATTGCGACCTCCAGAGCACCTTAGCAATTCGATGGTAAGCAAAAAGGCAATGTGATACTTCTGGCCATGGGTCATCGTCTTTTAACAAACTATCTTTTCAACTACAAATAGATGTCATCTCACAGATACACGGTTTGATCATAGACAACAACGAATTATATCAAACCGACATTGCTCTCCATCCAAATCTCGGGGCAAAACTTCGAAGGGGCGCAAAGATTGAGAGTAACGTACTGACGCAATCTAACAGTTGCGGAAACGACTTCCTTTGGCGACGGTTAAAGGCCTTTCTAGCCGCACACTAGGGCGATATCAGCGCAATAGACATACGAAATTGCTTGCAAAGCACCGTAGGCAGAAGTGAACGAAGTTTAAATCTCTATTTTTAGTACAATTAACAGCTTGACTAATAGGCAACCAAATGACTAACGCTACCACAAGCGGCAAGCGGACAACTGCTACTCCAGCCGCATCCGTGGCTAGAGACCGAAGCAACATCAACGAAGATAGCTATGCCATGTCGCCTATCGGGGTGAGAATGCAGACGAAGGCTTCCTGGCAGCGAGAGGGTAATGTCAGAGTGCAGAAAACGGAGATTCTGAGAAAGATATACGCCCCTTGGCCACGCAGGATGAGGCGACGAGATGATGGATAAGTCAACATACCCACTTCCTGGCACCCCCCTGTTTCTGGCACCCACAAAAACGCGAAAATCCACCACAACCCAATGCCCACCCCCAACCTCCTTTTATCACAACATTTTCAATTCGCGTCCAAATGGGCTCATCTTTTGCACATGTCTTCTTCTATATATAATGCCTCAATATACCGAAGATCAGCTTCGTCAGGCTCTCGAGGA